TTTCTAACTCTGTATCTCTCTCACTTCCTCTCTGTAAAAAATCAATAAAATATATTTTTAAAAAAAAGAATAGCATTTCTCTAGCAAGTTTAAAATAAAGAGTATAGAAAAAGGTGCAGAAAAGCTGAAATAGTATCATAAAAAATGGATAAACAAAGTAATACAAACTTGTTGGAAACAACAATAAAGGATGATTATGCTCTTTGAAGGGGCAAAATAAATAAATAAATAAATAAATAAATAAATAAATAAATGCTCATGAAAATAAAGGAAGTTGAAAAGAAAATAAACCTACAGATCGATCCAAGATGGCTGCACAGGTAAATACCTAGCCGCAGCCGCACACAACAATTTCAATAAAATACAACTAAAATATAAAATGGACATTACCCAGAACTACAGGAAAGTCAACTGACTGGAAATTCTACAACGAGAAGCAAGGAGAAAACCAGAAGGAAGCGCGGAGGAGCTGTAAAAGCCCAAGGTACGGAGACACGTGGCGCACGGAGAGGACGGAGCCGGAGAGGAGGGAGGCTGAGTGCCTGGCTGGCATTCCCTAGCAGGAAGGAGATAAAAGCTCCAACTGTGTTGGGCCCCAGTTCCAACTGCTCTGAACCCCAGTTCTAGGCCAGACCCCGGGAACCCAAGCTCATCCATAGGGAGCTGGGCTGTAAGGCGGAGCCCTGGGGGAGAGGTGAAAGGAGGTCCCGGAGGCATGCACATTGTGCGCAGAGAAGGGATGGTTGGCTGTGCCGCAGGATTGCCCTGGCAGGAAGGAGACTGGGGCTCCAGACTGCTCTGAACGCCACCTCCAATCCCACTTGCAACTGAACTGAACCCCAGATCCGGGCGCATTGGGGAAGAGCCTAGACTGTTTGGTAGCAGGCGAAAATCGAGGGCACCTTTCTCTCAGAGGTGCTTGCAAGGAGTACTGAAGGACCCTGAGACCCAGGAATAGGGCGGGGCTGACGGAAGCCAAGGCTGTAGGCTCCACCCTGAAACCCCCCCCCCCCCATCTATAACTGGGAAATGCGACAACGAAATAGATCACAAACGAAATAAATGGAGGACAAAAAGTGATTTGATATAGAGTTCAAATCTACACTTATAAGGTTTTTCAAGGATTTCCTAGAAAAGATCGATAAGGCCTATGAGGATATGAAAAGAGATCAATTAGAATTAATAAAGAATCAACAAGAAATGATAAGGGATCAACAAGTTTGCCCAACCCCGGTTTAGACATTTTCTTTTATATGAAATACAACAGGAATCTCCTACTCTCCTAGATTACAGTGACCACAAAAATGAGTCCTATGTAATATCTGTCATTCTATGAAAGCTTGATAAGTATTAATTACTTTTAGTTTGATATTAATTAATTGAAGCAATTCTTTTTTTAATGTAGAATTACTCACGATCTGGGACTGCTGGCTCCCAACTACTTGCCTGTCTGCCTGCCTGATTGCCCCTAACTATTTCTGCCTGCTAGCCTGATCACCCCCTAACCACTCCCCTGTCAGACTGATCAACATTTAACTGCTCCCTTGTCAACCCGATTGCCCCCAACTGCCCTCCCCTGCCAGCCTGGTTGCTCCCAACTGCCCTCCCCTGCTGGCCTATTCCCCCCCAACTACCCTCTCCTGCAGGCCTGGTCTCCCCCAACTGCTCTCCCCTGCAGGCCTGGTCTTGCCCCCACCCCCCAGCTACCCTCCTCTGCCAGCCTGGTCACCCCCAACTGCCCTTCCCTTCAGGCCTGTTTGCCCCCAATTCCCCCCCCCACTGCAGGCCTGCTTGCCCCCAACTTTCCTCCACTATCAGCTCAGTAACCCCTTACTGCCCTCCCCTGCCAGCCTGGTTGCCCCTAACTGCCCTCGCCTGCTGGCCTAGTCACCCCTAACTGCCCTCCCCTGCTGGCTTGGTCCCCCCCAACTGCCTTCCTTCCCCTGAAGGCCCAGTTACCCCCAACTGCCCTCCCTGCCAATCTGGTCACTCCCAACTGCCCTTCCCTCCTGGCCTGGTTGCCCCTAACTGTCCTCCCCTGCCAGCCATCTTATAGTGGCCTTCTTGTGACCACATGGGGGTGGCCATCTTGTGTAAGGGTATAATGATCAATTTGCATGACTTCTTTATTATGTAGGATACTGAAATTTGAATTTCGTATAATTCGTGAAATATTCTTCTTTTGATTTTTTTTTTTTTTTTTTTTGCTATCTAACCATTTATTTATTTTTATTTATTTTTTTAAAAAAATTTTATTAGAGACTATTCTGCTTAGAAACCAATACTGGAATCTGAGGAAATGGGTCCTTTTTTTCCAAAACATTTTTGAACCCTTAAAAAAAATTCTTCCAATATTTATTTGTAAGAATATCAGAAAATGAAGATTTTTTTGGCCATTAATATTTCTATCAGACTTATATAGCCCTCTTTTTAATCAGCCATCTTTAAAACAGGCTCCTTATCCCCTCTGCCTGTCTTGTGTGGTTGGAGCGGGTTCTGCTGGTTGGATTTGCATCTTGTTTTATTTGGTCTCCAGTGGTTGGTTGGATCTAGATCTTTTTGAGATCCAGCCAGTTAAAACTACGGTAATAACAGGTCAAAGTGAATAAATAGAAGGGATTGATTCTCCAGAAACTACTGCCCACAGACCACTCAGCTTTTACAATAATAATGGCTAATCTGTTGTGAATGCCTTTTTTTAAAAAAATAAATCTTTATTGTTCAAATTATTGCAAATGTTCCTTATTTCCCTCCCCCCGCCCATTGCTCCCCTCCACCAGGTTCCCACCCCATCCTCTGCCCTTTCCCACCCCCCATTGTCCTCATCCATAGGTGCACAGTTTGTATTCAGTCTCTTCCCACACCCCCCTCTCCCCTTTTCCCCAAGAATCATCAGTTCACTCCCCTTCCATACCTCTGATTCTATTATATTCACCAGTTAGTATTGTTCATCAGATTTTTTTTTAATTCTCTTGGTTTTTAGATTCACTTGTTGATAGTTACGTATTTGTTCTAAATAGTTTTTATCTTTATTTACTTTCTCTTCCGAAAGAACCCCCTTCAGCAATTCATATTATATAATTCTGGTTTGGCAGTGATGAACTTCTTTTGCTTTTTTTTTTTTTTATTAATGAAGCTCTTTATCTGGCCTTCGATTCTGAGTGATAGCTTTGCTGGGTAGATTATCTTTGGCTGTAGGTTCTTGTTATTCATCACCTTGAATATTTCTTGCTATTCTCATCTGGCCTGCTTGGTTTCTGTTGAGAAATCAGCTGACAGTCGTATGGGTGCTCCTTTATAGGTAAACTACCTGCTTTTCTCTTGCTGCTTTTAATATTCTCTCTTTGTCTTTTGCTCTTGGAATTTTAATTATGATGTGTCTTGGTGTTGTCTTCTTTGGATTCCTTTTGTTTGGAGTTCTGTGCGCTTCCTGGACTTGTAAATCTAATTCTTTCACCAGGTGGGTGAAGTTTTCTGTCACTATTTCTTTCAGTATGTTTTTGATATCTTGCTCTCTCTCATCTTCTGGGACCTCCATAATTCTAATGTTGGTTCGCTTGAAGTTGTCCCAGAGGTTTCTTACATTATCTTCAACTTTCTGGATTCTCTTGTCTTCTAGCTTCTGTGGAGGAGTGTCTTCTGGCTCTTTATGTTCCAAATCTTTGACTTGATTCTTGTGATCTTCCATTCTGTTTTTAGGACTCTGTATAATATTTTTTATTTCAGACAATGTATTCTTTATTTCTTGCTGATCTCTTATTAATTCTTGTCATTTTCATATCCTCATAGGTCTTATCGACCTTTTCTAGGAAATTCTTGAAAAACCTTATAAGCGTGGTTTTGAACTCTATATCCAGTCGCTTCTTTCCCTCCATTTCTTTTGTTTGTGAACTGTTTCTTTGTCTCAGCATTTTCACAACTTCCCTGAGTTGGTAGGGTGGCTTTGTGTGCTAAGATGTCCTATATGGTTCAGTGAGTCAGCCTCCCAGTTACCTGAGGTGGACAGTCTTGGTGTAGCCCTTTGTGGGCTGCATGTGCAGTCTTGTTGTTAAGCCTTGCTTGTTGTTGGTATCACTGGGAAGCATTGATCTCCAAGCCAATTGGCTATGAGGATCAGAAGTGTCTCCTCTGAACATAAACTGTGCACCTATGGATGAGGACAATGGGAGATGGGGATGGAGCGGAAGGTGGGGTGGGAACCTGGTGGAGGGGGGAAGAAATGAGGAACCTTTGTAATAATATGAACAATAAAGATTGAAAAAAAAAAGAAGTGTCTCCTATCTAACCATTTAAAAATATAAAACCCATTATGGGGGATTACTTTGTAAGTTATATAAATGTCTAATCACTATATTGTATACCTGAAACTAATATAATATTGAATGTCAACTCAATGTTTGAAAAATTAAAAAAAAATTTTTTTTTTAAATTTAAAAGCCATTCTTAACTAGCCCTACAAAAACAAGCAGCAAACCAGATTTGGCTTACAGGCCATAGTTTGCCCAACCCCGGTTTAGACATTTTCTTTTATATGAAATACAACAGGAATCTCCTACTCTCCTAGATTACAGTGACCACAAAAATGAGTCCTATGTAATATCTGTCATTCTATGAAAGCTTGATAAGTATTAATTACTTTTAGTTTGATATTAATTAATTGAAGCAATTCTTTTTTTAATGTAGAATTACTAAGAGGTCTCCTCTAGTAAGATTTTGAAAAAACAAACCATAAAGCAATATTCAACTGAAACTTCAAAATTTTTGAAAGTTATTATACTATGTATTAAGTAACATGAATATTCTTATGCAAATTTAAAATTATTATTACAAAACCAGAATTTATCTCTAATTCTTTTTGGAAAGAGGTGGTATATATATATATTATAATAAGGATTTTTCTTTTGCATTTATGATCAAGCTCAAAGTGAATGTGAGAAAAAAGTAAATGTGAGCAAAAAACTATGTATTCTTTACTAAAATGAGAACTTAATTTTTTTCAGGTTAAACTACAGAGCAACATATCATATCAGATGGCAGACATACATCATTTAAAGGGTAAGAAATTTAATTACATCCTATCTAATAAAAGAGAAATATGCAAATTAACCATCAATCTGCTACACTCACAAGTCACACCCATCAGCCAATCAGAATGAATATGCAAATTAATCCACCCAAGATGGCTGCAGCCAAGGAGAAAGCAGAAGGAAGGCTTGGGTTTCCCCGGTTACAGAAGAAGCCAAACTTTCCACACACCCTGGCCAGCCCAGGCCTCTGCTTAAGGCTACAAAGTTTCAATTATAGAAGGTAAATGTATCCCCTGCCGCCATGGAGCAAGCAAAAGGCTTGGCTCTGCTCCAGGCTACAAAGTTTCAATTGTAGAAGATAAAAAATAAACCCTGATTACCAGAGCCTCTGCTTGGGTCACCACGGGACTTGGCTGGCCTGCAAACCACCACAGGTCCCTTGCCCAGGTCACCCCATGCCCCAAGGGAACCCCCATCCTGATCCAGGACACCCTTCAGGACAAGCCAGCTGGCCCCCACCCATTCACTAGGCCTCTATCCTATCTAATAAAAGAGTATTATGCAGATTGACCATCATTCCAACACACTAGTGCAGATGGCTGCCCCCATGTGGTCAAAGATCCTGTCCCTATGTCGACACAAGATTGCCACCACAAGATGGCCAGCAGGGAGGGCAGTTGGGAGGGACCAGGCCTGCAAGGGAGGGCAATTGGGGGTGATCAAGCCTGCAGGGGAGGGCAGTTAGGAGTGACCAGGCCTGTAGAGGAGGGAAGTTGGGGACAAACAGGCTGGCAGGGGAGCAGTTAGGCATCAATCAGGCTGGCATGGGAGTGGTTAGGGGGTGATCAGGCTGGCAGGCAGGCAAGTGGTTGGGAGCCAGCAGTCCCAGATTGTGAGAGGGTGCAGGCTAGGCTGAGGGACACCCCCTCTCCCTTGACCCCATGCACAAATTTTGTAATAAAGATGCAGGACATCCTTCAGGGCAAGCCATCTGGCCCCCACCCATTCACTAGGCTTCTAGTAATAAAGATAAACAAAGGTCACTAAATGTCTAAAATCCTCAAGAATTTAGGATAATAAAATAGTTAAATGAAAATTTTTGAACGAAGTTCCTCAAATGATAGAACATTTATTCTTTTGTCTTAAGATATGATAAAATGTTTTAATATTGCTTTATATACAATAAATGCAAGTTAAAATTTGAGGTCAGCACCCAGCCAGTGTGGTTAAGCAATTGAGCACTGACCCAGGAACCAAGAGGTCATTGGTTCAATTCCTGGTTAGGGTGCATTTAACCTAACTTGTGGGCACAAGCCCCAGTAGGGGGTGTGCAGGAGGCAGCCTGTGCAGGAGGCAGCAGATCTATTATATTTCCATCTCATCAATGTTTCCATTTCTCTACCCTTCTCCCTTCCTCTTCTCTAAAAATCGATAAAAACATATATAAATTTATTTTAATTTGAGTGCCAGCATTTTAATCTTGTGCTGTTTTATTATAATTATAATATTGGTACATTATGTATAGACATTATATTTTAGTCTTAATAGATGTTGCTTATACAGAGTAGACCTTTGTTCTCATTTTTAAAAATTAAGACTTTCTTAACCACTACTTTTGCTTAACTGATAATTTTTAATCATCTAAGAACATGGCATTTCTCTAGTGACCTCTTTGTTGTGGAGTCAGATGAAGGAAAGGCTCTAAGAATATGGGTCACTTATTAGGGATAAATGTTTACAAAAGAGCATCTGGCCCAGCTTTTAATTTGTTTTACAGCTCATTTCATATCATTCATTAATAACTAAAACTTTTAGCCCTAGCCCAGAAATAATGAGCTTTGAAAATAGATTTTGGTATATGTAGACCTAGCATCAGTAGCAGACCTAGAAATAAGATCTAAAGTGGTTAACACCTGAGTTGGAAGTCAAATGTGATTTAAAATGGGGAAAAAACTTGAATTTTGTAACCATAGCAAACATCTAAAAAATGTTATTTTCCCACCTACTTTTATTTATTTATTTTTTGATCTTAAAGGAAGGAAGGGAGGAATAAGGGGAGGGAGGAAGAGAGAGAAAGAGCGAGAGAGAGATCTATTGCCTTTTGAATATGCTCTACCAGGGATCAAACCCACAACTTGGTTATATGCCCTGACCTGGAATTGAACCTGCCACCTTATGGTGTACGGGAAGACACTCCAACCAGCTGAGCCACACAGGCCAGGGCTTCCTGCCTACTTTTATAAAGCAGGCTTAAAAGAGGTAGGTAGATATTTTTTGGTACTATTTTCACAGCTTGTATGTCTACATAATGTGAAAAGATGTATAATTTTTTTGATATTTCTGATTAATGTGGAAGCCATTGAGGCTATCTTGTTTTAAAAATAAAATTTATCTGCCCATACATGTGTTATAAAAGGCAATTAAATGGGCTACCAATTATATAATTTAACTGAATAAAGAAAATGAGAAGTATATTTAATTTTTTAAAATCCCATGACTTCTCACTAAGGCGCATTGAAGTGAGTAAACTTTATTTCTTTGATTTTTACCTTTTGTGTCTAGAACAACTTGCTGAGCTTCGACAGGAGTTTCTTCGGCAAGAAGACCAGCTTCAGGACTATCGGAAGAACAATACTTACCTGGTGAAGAGGTTAGAATATGAGAGGTAAGGTGCTACAAATATTTATGAATCTGTAATCTCTCTCCAACCAACTTTTGGACAATTCATTTTTTTCCTTTCTGGCTTCTGTTTTTCTTCTCTTCTTTTGTTTCCTTAGGTCATTTAAATTCATTTTCTATTGTCTTTCTATTGCCTCTCTGAAGTCTGTACTCTCTTATTTTTATACTAGAGTCCTGGTACATGAAATTTGTGCAGGGGAGAGGGAGATGGTGGTTCCCTCAGCCCAGATTGCACTTTCTCGCAATCCGGGACCCCTCAGGGGATGTCCGACTGCCGGTTTAGGCCCTATTGGTTTAAACAGTCCGACATCCCCTTCATAATCCAGGACTGCTGGCTCCTAACCGCTCGCCTGCCTGCCTGCCTGATTGCTCCTAACCGCTCTTTCTGCCCACCTGATTGCTACTAACCACTTACCTGCCTGCCTGATCGCCCCTAACCACTCGCTTGCCTGCCTGATCACTCTTAACCGCCTCTGCCTGCCGGATCACCCCTATCCACTCACCTGCCTGCCTGATCACACCTAACTGCTCACCTGCCTGCCTGATTGCCCCTATCTGCCTCTGCCTCAGCTTCATCCAGAAGGACATCCAAAATGATGTTCAGAAGGTTGTTCGGCTGTCCGGTGTAATTAGCATATTACACTTTTATTATAGATGTTTTGCACCATGAAAACATTTCTTTTCTTTTTTTTTTTTTAATATATTTTATTGATTTTTCATAGAGAGGAAGAGAGAGGGATAGAGAGTTAGAAACATCGATGAGAGAGAATCATCGATCAGCTGCCTCTTGCACACCCCCTACTGGGGATGTGCCCGCAGCCAAGGTACATGCCCTTGACCGGAATCGAACCCGGGACCTTTCAGTCCGCAGGCCAACGCTCTATCCACTGAGCCAAACCGGTCCCGGCTGAAAACATTTCTTATAAGGTATGTGTGTGTCTGCCTGTGTAAGACAGAAAATCTTGCCTGAGTTTTTTTTAATTAGTTGTTTGGCAAAGACTAAAAGATTAAGATTCTGTGATTCTTTTTGAGGGGCATCTAGATGAAGACGCACTGGGAGAAGTCCCCAGTATAGCTAAGGGCTGAGTGCCAGCTGCTTCTCCTGCTCTTTAATACAGGGCCCTTGTTTACACTGCTACACTTAGTTGGAAGTGAGGTAGGGGAATTTCAGTGGGGTTTCTAGCAACCCCTCTATAAAAACCTTTATTGTATCTGTAATCAGTTTTACAGAAAAGGGTATTTTTTAGGTCTGCACACCAAAAATTAGAAAGATTTGCCACATTTTAATTTAAAGTACCATTTATTCATTTCTGATTTCTTACTCTAGGCTATCAATATGCATCTAGTTTAAGGTGACCAGATGTCCTGCTTATGGTGGGACAGTCCTGATTTTTAACAATTTGTCCTGCATCCCGGGCATTTTAAAAAATTCCCTATTTTTGGAAAAAATGCACGACAAGCTAGGGAACAGCAGGAAAATGGGAAGGGAATATACGGCTTTCGGCAGTCATGTGGCTATTTAGCCAGGGTCTGAGTTCTAATTATTTTTTTTAATTTTATAATGTTAAACTTTAATAATAAATAATTGTTGAGAACTGATTATTGAGAACTGCTTATCAAAGTTCTCATTGTTGATCAGTTGTTAGAATTCGACCACCATTGTTTGGACTTAATGAACAATGGCATTTTTTGGGATTGACGACAACGAAAACATTTTGTAACTGTCTCTCAGATGATACATATCGTACTGAGTGCTAGTAAGCTAGTTAAACAAGTGATGTCATTACAAATCAGCTATTCAGATAATTTAGGTAAGGAATTCATAAATATATAAATTTTCTTGAATTTAGCAGATAGTACTCATATTATTTATATTTTATAGTGGCCGCAAAAAGTCTAGCGCTGGCCTTGAAAGTGACACGACTATACATAATTTTTTAAAAATTTATTATATTTGTAAATTGTACTTATGTTGAAATTTAAAAAATATATTACAATACTATTTTTGCGTTCTATGAAAATGTTTGTTGCTCCATATAGACCAAATTTTTTAATCAAGAAACCCTCACCCCGCCGCCGCCCGCTCCTCCTCCCCGCCACGTCAATGGTGTCCCACTTTACCAATGTTAAAATCTGGTCACCTTAATCTAGTTACATATATGTATTTGAACTTAACAGTATTCAATAATTTTCCAAGTACTACTTTCATAATATATTACCTCTAAGTATACCTGCATATTTAGAGGTAATACATTATTTCAGCTTGTTAATGTACCAAAGCTTATTTAATCTCTCCCAGTTGCTGAACCATTATAGTGGTTTTCCTTTTCCCACTGTTATTATTATCAACTATAAAACTCTATGCAAAAAGGATTTTCCCCGCTAATGTTATTTCACTGGTATGTATTCTCAAATAGAGTGTTCCTAAGATAGAATGTTTTATTGATTTTATTACTTATTTCACATATATGAAATATTGCTTTCTAACATGATTATACTGATTTATAATCTAAATGTTCCCCCCATAGCTCTTTCAACATTGGCTTTTATAATTCTAATTTATTTTTGCAAGTATAGGAATAATGTAATACCATAAATACACATTTAATTTGCATTTTAATGGTGAAAGTTAACATTTTCCTCTCTATTAACTGTTTGTTTCTTTTTGCATGAATGATCTATTTGTATCCTTTGAGTACTGTGCAGTGGAAATTCACAGTCTTTATCTATTTTGTTCATTTACATTTTTTCTTGAAAATAAGTATATCTTATTTATTAATTTCTTTCATTCTTGCTCTTCTTATGGTTTAGACTTTTATTATTGTGTTAAAGTACTAACTATTGGATGAATCACTTTCTGCAACTTCTATTAACACTTGTAATTCTATTTTTTCTCACCTATTACTAAATTTTGGTCTCAAAATTTTCTCCTCTTTATTGTTTTTCTCTTCTGTGATTGAAGTTGGCTTTGACAATTGTTTTTTTAAATAAATGAAATTTTATCTTTCTAATTTCTTTTAAAATTAGCTTTATCAATACTTTTTATCCTCTATTAAAGGTTCAAATATTTTAAGAATCTTGACTAAACTATATTTATGTCTGCTCTTTGTCTTTCCTTACCCACTCTTCTGCTAACTGAATGCCTCATCTTTGTAATTGTAAGATTTCAACTTCTAGACTTTGAGAATCCAATCCGAGATAATATAATCTAAAAAAATGATTTTGTAATTTAGTTTTCAGTGTGGACAACAAATCAAGGAATTAAGAGCACAGCATGAAGAGAATATTAAAAAGTTAGCAGACCAGTTTTTGCAGGAACAAAAGGTAAATTAAAAAAGTATACTTAGATCAAAATATATTCTTGTTAAAATATTATAATTTAGAAATTAAAATATGTTCTTTTGTCATAAAACATTGTATCTTTTTAAGTATTCTGGCCTGCTTAATTCTAAAAATGACCTGCAGTGGCTTATTGCTGAGTAAATTAGATATTTGCAAAAACATAACCATAACTCTTAAAACTAATTTTGAGCTAAATATCTCTTACCTGTTTTTTTTAAATCCTCTCCTGAGGATATGCTTATTGATAAATTTTTTAAAAGAATAGTTTAATTATTTTTAGAGAGAGAAGAATGGAGAAGAGAAACATTGATGTGAGAGCATAACATCGATTGGCTGCCTCCTGCATGCCCCCTACCAGGGATTGTGCCTGCATCCTGGGCATGTGTCCTGACTGGGAGTTGAACCAGCAACCCCTTGGTGCATAGGACAACACTCAACCAACTGAGTTATACCATATAGGGATAAAAATAATTTTTGCTGTTAATGTATTTCTCAGATTGTAAAGTGCAAAACATTTTACTGAAAAATCAATTACTTCCTATTTTATGCTTTTTAGAACCAGAAAAATAATCAAGAAACATTCCCCTTAATTATAAATTTATGTTATTCTGAATTTCTTTTTTTAAATATAAAAATGAAACACTAGTCAGTACTTGGATTCATATTTTAGGGGTGGAAATTTATTTTATTGATTTATCCATTTTCAGTTGACATGTATATTACAAAGGCCCTCCTGGAAATGGAGGGAATTTGTCTAAAGATTAGGACATTCATTGTTTTCCACCTTGTAATCTCATCTAACTAGCAATGGTTTGTATAAAGTCCTGTGATTTAATGTAAAAAGAGGTTGAACAGTGAAAAATATTTATCTTGTTCTTTGGTAGCATCTTCTCTAAAGAACTAAAAGTTAAGGAAACCAGATTTTCATTCTTAGCTGTTTCGCTATTTTACAGCATGATATTGAGGGCATCATTTTTTCTGTATTTCATTTTTTGAATCTACAAAGTGAAATAGCTGCTGCCTAACATTAAATAAAATTAAATGAGGGTTAATTAGTTTTCTGTGAAGTTAAAATTATTTTTAGAATAAAAAGTTTATTTAAAAAGCAGGTGCCCCTTTGCCAAATTATCAGCATTGCACTTAGAAAACACTTTTATTTGAAGGCGAGGGAGGGAGGGCGGGTGGGCGGAAGGTAATCAACCATGGGTTATGCATGTATGTATGTATGTTATGTATGTATGTATAATCTATGGACACAGACAATAGGGTGGTGAAGGTCTGGGTTGGGGGTAGTGGGGCTGGGGTCAGACTGGAGGGAGTCTGGGGGGAGAAAATCAATGAAGAAAGAAAGAAAGGAAACACTATTATTTTCTAAGAATATTTAATATTGCCCGGCCGGTGTGGTTTAGTGGTTGAGTGTCAACCCATCGACCAGGAGGTCACAGTTTGATTCCTAGTCAGGGCACATGCCTGGGCTGTGGACTTCATCCCCAATAGGGGGCATGCAGAAGGCAGCTTATCGATGATTCTCTCTCATCATTTATGTTTCTATCTCTCCCTCTCTCTTCCTTTCTCTAAAATCAATGAAAACCTATTTTAAAAAAGAATATTTAGCCCTAGCTGGTTTTCTCCGTGGTTAGAACATTGACCCACAGATTGAAGGGTTTTAGGTTCAATTCCAGTCAAGGACACAGACCTCAATTGCAGGCTCAATCCCCAGCACCTCTCATTGGGGCATGTGGAGGAGGCAACTAATCAATGTGTCACATCGATGTTTCTGTCTCTCCCACTCCTTCCCACTCTTTCTAAATAATCAGTGGAAAAAATGTCGTTGGGTGAGGATTAACAACAATTAAAAGTTGCAGTCATTAATAATATATCAAAGTGACATTGTTAACTATTTTAAGTGGAAAAGTGTTTTTGAACAATAGTTTCTTGACTTTTAAATTTTGTTAATATTTTTTGTTTTATTCACATCTACAAAGAAGTGGAATGCTATAAAAATAGCCTATGATGATATAACATTATAGCAAAAATACAGAGATGCAGGATGAGCCTCACTGATTTTCTCACCTTTGTCTTTTGTACTGACATGTTCAAAAATTTCAGTTTATCATCTCATTCATCGACTATTAAGCTCTGAGATTTGGCTATTGTTTACCAAGTTCCCAGAAGATGTGGGAGTGAGAAAGACTGTCATTTGAATTCATTCTCCACAATTCCTTAACTTTATAACCTTGAGTAAGCTACTTAACTTCTTTAAGCCTCAGTTTTGTTTTTCCTCAAAATATTTATTTCTCTCTGCTAGAGGATAAATTTAAAAGGAATTTGTAAATTATGAAGCATAGTACAAATGTTCGTTGTTGATTTTATCTGCTAGGTACACTGGAATTGTGAAAATACCTTTTTTCTTTCTCTTTTTTAATTTAATAAATCTTTATTGCTCATATTATTACAATTGTTTCTCCTTTTCCCCCCCATAGCTCCTCTCCACCTGGTTCCCACCCCACCCTCTGCCCTTACCGCCCATTGTCCTCATCCATAGGTGTACAATTTTAGTCCAGTCTCTTCCTGCACCCCCCACACACTCGTTTCCCCCCCTGATAATTATCAATCCACTCTCTTTCTTTGCCCCTGATTCTATTATTTTCACCAGTTTATTCTATTCCTCAGATTTTTAATTCACTTGATTTTTTTTTTTTTTTTTTTTTTTTTTTTTTTTTTTTTTTTTTTTACAGAGTGGAAGAGAGAGGGATAGAAAGTTAGAAACATTGATGAGGAAGAATCATCGATCAGCTGCCTCTTGCACAATCCCTACTGGGGATGTGCCTGCAACCAAGGTACATGCCCTTGACTGGAATTGAACCTGGGATCTTTCAGTCCTGGGATCTTTCAACCTGGTCTTTGTATAATATTTTTTATTTTAGTACAATTCCAGTGTACCGACGCTTTATCCACTGAGCCAAACCTGTTTCGGCAATTCACTTGATTTTTAGATTCACTTGTTGATATATGTGTATTTGTTGATTATGATTTTTATCTTTATTTTTTTCTTCTTCCTCTTCTTAAAGAATACCTTTCAGCATTTAATCTAATACTGGTTTGGTGGTGGTGATCTCCTTTAGCTTTTCCTTATCTGTGAAGCTCTTTATATGCCTTTCAATTCTGAATGATAACTTTGCTGGGTAGAATATTCTTGGTTGTAGGTTCTGGCTATTCATCACTTTGAATATTTCTTGCCACTCCTGTCTGGCCTGCATAGTTTCAGTTGAGAAATCAGCTGATAATTATATGGGTACTCCCTTGCAGGTAACTAACTGTTTTTCTCTTGCTGCTTATAAGATTCTCTCTTTGTCTTTTGCCCTTGGCATTTTAATTATGATGTGTCTTGGTGTGGTCTTCTTTGGATTCATTTTGTTTAGGGTTCTGTGAGCTTCCTGACTTGCTGGTCTATTTCTTTCACCAGTTGGGGGAAGTTTTCTGACATTATTTTTTCAAATAGGTTTTCAGTATCTTGCTCTCTCTCTTCTTCTGGCACCCCCATAATTCTGATGTTGGTATGCTTGAAGTTATCCCAGAGGCTCCTTACACTATCTTCAACTTTCTGGATTCTCTTCTCTTCTTACTTCTCCAGAGGAGTGTCCTTTGCCTCTTTGTATTCCAAATATTGGACTTGATTCTTGTGTTCCTCTAGTCTGCTGTTGGGTCTCTGTATAATATTTTTTATTTCAGTCAGTGTATGTTTAATTTCTAGTTGGTCCTTTTTCATATCCTTGAGAGTCTCATTAAATTTATTAGCCTTTTCTAGGAAATTCTTGAAAAACCTTATAACTGTGGTTTTGAACTCTATATCTAGTCTTTCAATCGGGATCTGTTTCCTTGTCTCCTTGTCTCATAATTTCTGCTGCTTCCCTGAGTTGGTAGGGTGGCTTTGTGTGTTTGGTGTCTTATATGGACCAGTGGGTCAGCCTCCCCAGTTACCTGAGATAGATACTCTTGGTGCTCCCCTTTTGGACTTTGTGTACAGCCTTGTTGTAGTTAAGTCTTGATTGTTGTTGGTATCACTGGGAGGAATTGACCTCCAGGCCAATTGGATGTGAATATCAGTTGTGTCTATGCCAGGATACCTTCTGTATTGGAGATAGTCTTATAGGATCAGACTTTCAAAATTACAAAAGCCTCTGAGCTCAGCTTGGATGGGGTGGAGTCTCAGTGCTGAGCTGACAGTCTTGGTTTCCTGTCAACCCTGCCCTTGTGCATGCACCTCAAACCTCTGCCTTCCACAGATCCCCTGATTTTCCCCCTGACAGTCCAGATTCCCCCTGTAAGAGCATGAGTCCCCCAGGGGCTCACCCAGAACTGAGTTTCAGTGCTCAGTGTAGTCAGAACTGGGATTCAGTGCAGTGGAGCTTCCAACTCCTTCTGCTATGGAGAGGCTGCGGCAACCTCCTCTGCAGTCAGACCTCTTGCGTGCATTCACTCGTGCGTGACTCTAGACCCTGCCCACTGTGGCTCCTAGCTCCCCCAAGTTTCCCAGTCTCTGAGTCTCCGAGGGCCTTTCTGTACAGTCCAGATCCACCCATATGAGTCTGGGTCCATGGGGTTTCGGCTGGGGTTGGAGTTCATTGCAGTTGAAACTGGGGTTCAGTGCATTTGGGGCATTCTTTCCCATCCCACCAGGCAGGCACTTGACCGCCCTTCCTCTCTGTACACATCTCCCTACCTCAGCGCTTTGCGGCTCCTCTGATCTGTGAGCCTCTCTCCTTCTTTCTAGTTGTAGATTTCACACTCAGCCAACTTTCCTGTGGTTTTGGATGATGCCCCTTCTGTCTTTTAGTTGTTGTTTTGAAATTGCTGTGCAAGGCAGTATTTTAGGCAATTACCTAGGCCGCCATCTTGGTTTTCCCTTTTTTCTTTATTTTAAAAAATTCTTACAACTTGGCTCTTATAATTCTAGACTTCCTATAGATTTTTAAGTGCTATTTTTTTTTATAACATTACTTAATGATGACATTTCATAGTGCTTTAGAGTTGATCAACTATGTATAAATGCATTAAATATTAAGTGTAAGGACCTATGTGGCAACTCAAACATATCTACTTGATCTTTGTGTCTCCCAGTTTTCTACTTGAGGCAATTCAATATAAAAGAGAAAACTGGCTCACCAATAGAATCGAGTCAGGTCTAACTATATACACAAAGATTCAAATTTCCAAGGAAATGATATATTTAGGAGCAGGTTGGAAGGAGCACTGACCTGTTGTATTTGTCTGCCATTACTTCTTGTGCTTTGGTGGTTAGTGCACTTGGGGGGAAAAATATGACAATGTCAGTAGCCATTTACCACACTTGAGGGGCACCTGTGTGCCAATCTCCTGCTGTCTGCCATCCTGCTGGATTATAACATTTGCCTATAAAGAACCTACCCTGACCACAGCACCCAGGACAGAGCTCAACCATATGCCTCCCGCAGTCACCTATAGTGCTTGGCAAGATTCTCTTCTTGCAGAATCACTCTCTTAGCATAGCCAAAGAGAATTATCTCTGTCTAATATTTTAAGCCATTTACTACAATTAGAGACTTTAAAATGTACTGGTTCTTCTTTGACTTCGTATCAGGTATAAAAACTGAACAGAAAATAATATTATATCCCCCATTTCCAAGTATTTGAAAATTTAGACCCAGGGTATATGTTTCAGAAAATGAACTGTTTCAGAACATTTAGTTAATAGTAATGTCAATGATGTAACATAGTTAACTGAAAAAATATTTACTGTTACTAAATCCTTTATCTAACAGCAAGAGGCCCACAAATTGGAATTAAAAGATGAAAATGAATTGGGTATAAACAATCATGCAGTACCTAAAAATGTTCCAAAAGTAGGTGAGAAGGCTGAAGAGAAGAATGAAGAGCCCTCAAGCCACCATATTGCACATGGGAAAGGTATTACAGTTATTTTGTTTTGTGTTAATAGGATATTGACTTTTCTCATTTTGAGGTTAACATTTTTAATCATAAAGGATGTTGTTTGATTTTAGTTCAGTTATGATTACGTGTCTGTATTGTTTCAAATTTAGATCCTTTGACTGAGAAAAAAGCAGTAAGTTATTTTAGAATTACAACTATGTCCAAAGCAAGATATAAAGATATTTGGTTAGTGTAGCTTATTGCTTTAGAAACTTATTACCTTCCTTTAAGATAATTTTAATTTATGTAAAGAAAAATATAGAATTATATCTTTTGATACTTGGGCAGAGCAAATCAAACCAGGTGGTGATGCAGGAATGCCTGGAATAGAGGAGAACGACCTTGCAAAAGTTGAAGACATTCCCATTGGTAAGTAAAAGTTGGTAGAGTATTTAACTAAAGTGATCATATTATTTTTCATGTGACCCTATTCTCTTTTTGAGTAACACTTGAGAAAAGTCACAGATATTTATATGGTTTATATTTCTAGTTAATTAACCACCCATAAGTACTTGCTTTGCCTTAATAAGAATCAACCATATTTGAACCTTTTCTTTTTTGACTCGAGTTATTGTTCATGACATTTATGCTATATTAGAGCTATTTATATTTACTAAAAGAATATATGGCTCATTTCTTTCATATTAAATGCTCCCAGATTGCTATGATATTGGTTTGCTTTAATATGGCCTACCAATATACTTTATAGGTTTTTAAAACTCGCCTTGTCCTTTCAGTTAATTACCTCAAACTTTAAATAGTTTATTCACTGTTTTCTTTCTTTTATTTTTGTTAATCCTCATCAGAGGATATTTTTTCCATTGATTTTTAGAGAGAGTGGAAGGGATGGGGAGAAACAGAGAGAGAGGAACATTGATGTGAGAGAGACACATTGATTGATTGCCTCCCGCACACATATAGGTTGGGGCCAAGAATCGAACCTGCAACCAAGATACTTGCCTTTGGTCTGAATCAAATCTGCGATCCTTCGGCCTGTGGACTGAAGGGTCGCAGATTAGATTCAAGTCAAGAGCAAGTACCTTTCTAACTGAGAAAAATGGCAAGGGTGACTTTTTTTTTTTATGGCCACTTCTACTTAATGTGTATCTCTTTCTTCATTAATGTGTTTGTTTCTTATCTATTTCCATTTGAAGTCTGTGTCACTGCTGCTTTCCTAATCCCACTCATGTTTGTTTGTTTTTGCATGTCTGTTTTTCTTGCCATTTCTATGTTTCTTGGCTATCATAGGTATCCCTAACTGCCGACTCCAATTTATGATAGAAAATTGAAAGTAATAGCATGTCTGTGGTTATTCTAGGTGATTACTTCTGTGGTTACAACTTATTGTATGTGGCTGAAGTTGCTGAGTGTTTGAGGTCCAAATGAAATACTGGGTTTTTTATTTGTATTGTTTTGTTATCTTCTCAAATTCTTTCATGTCTGTTTTCTTTTGGGTTCCTAGTCATAGTATATCCCCCTAAAATAATGGTAAGGACAAGAGCAATAACGTGAGTTTAATAATATGGAGTTAGAATGAGCATGATTTGTTTGTAAGGCAATGAAGTTATCTAGTGATTCTTCAAGTGTGGTCCTTGGATCAGTAATATCAACTTTACCTAGGAACTTCTTAGAAATGCAAATTCTTGAAATAGAGCTCAGCAATGTGTGTTTTAACCAGCTCTCCAAGTGATTTTTGATCTATGCTATAGTTTTAGAATCAATAGCTTGATATTAATTAAGGAAATGTTGAGAGCAAAAATCATGTATTCTTCTCAATTTCTGTAGCACTTACTCTATTCCTAGACTTACTGACTTTTAGATTAATTAATCTATTTTATATTGCCCTTATTTATTTTTTAGGTTGCACCCAAAGTTTTGCTAAGGACAAACTGCAGGTTTCTAGTATATAGAAGCACTCTATTCAGATATATAGTCAAATATTGCTTACCTGCTTGCATGCATTTATTTTTTATGTCATATATCTTCAAAAATATATTTACATGTAAATATATAATTTTAACTTCTGTTGTCCATTTCTATATAGTTTTCAAGTTAAATTTTTTTCATTACTTCCTTCAATGTGTAATATCTCCACTTATTTTCTCACTGGTCCACTATCATAATTTACTACCTGGCCACCAGGAAATGCCAGAGTTACGGTAAAATGAAATGGGAATGCAAGAGGTCATAAAGATTTTATCTTGACTATTTTTTAGGTATACTGTCCCTATTAGAAAGTGATTTTCAAATATCTTCCATACATGAATAGCTTCAGCAGAGCAAAAATTTTTTATCTTGCTTCTTTTGCTTACTTTTTTTTAAAAAGCACACAACCTGTTTATTAGAATCAAAAGGGATAAATAATACTATTTTTAATTAGATGCCAACAAATTCAAGCCTGATTTTCACAATATGAATTTGCCATATTGACTCATATAATGTTTGTAGCATTATAGTTTAGCTGGGAAAAACACTAAAAATATATATTTTGTGTAAAATTAACATTAATGCCAAAACCATCTGACTATGCTGTCATGGCATATTAGAGACCTTTCTCAGGATTAGTTTTTCTCTCTCTCTCTTTCTTTTAAACAAATAAAATGTTTATATGGGATGTTAAAGGATTTAAATCCAGTAGGCACAGGCTTAAAGAAAACCTGATATGTGCTCCTTAATTTTCTTTATATTTGATTTTCTGTAATTTGAAAATTATATTCTATGATGTAGTTGTTTTTTGTTTTTTAGCATTTATCCTGCTTGTTCTGTCAGCTTCTTGGATCTGTGGCTTGGTGTCTGACATTAATTTGGGGAAATTCTCAGTCATTATTATTTAAACTATTTCTTTTGTTCTTTTTCTCCTGCTTATCTTTCTTGTATGTACATATTACACATGCTTTATACCTTTTGTAGTCTCCTTGATACTCTGTTCTGTCTTTTCCCCTCAATCTTTGTTCTATTCTTTTTGTTGTTGTTTCAGAGGAGTCTATTGATACATCCTCTATCTCAGAGCGTCTTCCCACAGTCGTGACCAGTCTACTAAGAAGCCCATTAAAACATTCTTCATTTTTGTTACCGTTTTTTACCTCTAGTATTTTTTTCCCCATAGAGTTTCTATCTTTCTACTTATATTGTCCATCTATTCTTATCTACTATCTATTTATCTATTAGAGTCTTTAACATATAATCATAGTTCATTTTAAATCCCATCTGATAATTTTAACATTTTCACCATATTCTCTGATGCTTGTTCTGCCTCTTCAACTTGTGCTTTTTTTTCTTCGGTTTGAATGGTAATTTAAAAATATATATATTTTTTTTTAACTGATTTTTTTATAGAAAGGAAGAGAGAGGGGTAAAGAGTTAGAAATGTCGAGAAGAGAGAATCGTCGATCAGCTGCCTCTTGCACACCTCCTACTGGTGATGTGCCCACAACCAAGGTTCATGCCCTTGACCAGAATTGAACCTGGGACCCTTCAGTCTGCAGGCCTACGCTCTATCCACTGAGCCAAACCAGTTTTGGCTGAATGGTAATTTTTAAAATATATATATTTTTATTGATTTCAGAGGAAAGGGAGAGCAAGAGATAGAAACATCAAAGATGAGAGAGAATCATTGATAGGTTGCCTCCTGCATGCCCCCTACTGGGGATCGAACCTGCAAACTAGGCATGTGCCCTTGACTGAAATTGAACCCAGATCCCTTCAGTTCATAGGCCGACTCTCTGTCCACTGAGTCACACTGGCTAGGGTGACTTATAATTTTTTTCAAATAATTTTTTATTTTTTAATTACAGTTGACATATAATATTATATTAGTTTCAGGTGTACAGTAGTGATTAGACATTTATTTAGCTTATGAAGTGATCACCCTGATAAATCTAGTACCCATCTGACACCATACGTAGTTATTACAATATTATTGACTATATTTTCTATAAATACTATATATCCTGGTGACTATTCTCTACCAATTTGTACTTCATTTTTTAAAATTTTAATTAATTAATTAATTAAATTCTTTATTGTTCAAAGTATTACATGTGTCTCCTTTTCCCTCCATTGACCTCTCCCCAGCCACCCCACCTCCCTACATAAGCCCTCATCCCCCAATTTGTACTTATTTTTTTTAATAATAAATATTTATTGTTCAGATTATTACAGGTGTTCCTCTTTTTTTCCCGCAGATAGCTCCCTCCACCTGATTCCCCACCCCATCAGATGCCTTTACCCCCCGCCACTGTCTTCATCCATAGGTGTAAGATTTTTGTCCAATCTCTTCCTGCACATCTCAGACCTCTCTTTCCCCTGAGAATTGTCAGTCCACTCTTTTTCTATGTCTCTGATTCTATTATATTCACCAGTACATTCTGTTCTTCAGGTTTTTTATTCAATTGATTTTTAGATTTACTTGTTGGTAGGTAAGTATTTGATGACTTTTTGTTGTTCATAATTTTTACCTTTACCTTTTTCTTCTTCTTCATTTTCTTAAAGAATACCATTCAGCCGAAACCGGTTTGGCTCAGTGGATAGAGCGTCGGCCTGCGGACTAAAAGGTCCCAGGTTCGATTCTGGTCAAGGGCATGTACCTTGGTTGCGGGCACATACCCAGTAGGGGGTGTGCAAGAGGCAGCTGATTGATGTTTCTCTCTCATCGATGTTTTTAACTCTCTATCCCTCTCTCTTCCTCTCTGTAAAAAATCAATAAAATATATTTAAAAAAAAAAAAAAAGAATACCATTCAGCATTTCATGTAATCCTGGATTGGTGGTGATGAACTCCTTTAGCTTTTTCTTGTCTGTGAAGCTCTTTATCTGACCTTCAATTCTGAATAATAACTTTGCTGGGTAGAGTAATATTTGTTGTAGTTTCTGGCTATTCATCACTTTGAATATTTCTTGCCACTCCCTTCTGGCCTGCATAGTTTCTGTTAAGAAATCAGCTGACAGTTGTATGGGTACTCCCTTGTAGGTAACTAACAACTGTTTTTCTCTTGCTGCTTGTAAGATTCTCTCTGTTTTTTTTGCCTTTGGCATTTTAATTTGATGTGTCTTTGTGTGGTCCTCTTTGGGTTCCTCTTGTTTGGGGTTCTGTGGGCTTCCTGAATTTGTAAGTCTATTTCTTTCACCAGGTAGGGAAAGTTTTCTGTCATTATTTCTTCCAATAGGCCTTCAATATCCTGCTCTCTCTCTTCTTCTGGCACCCCAAAAATCCGGATATTGGTATGCTTAAGGCCGTCCCAGAGGTTTCTTACACTATCCTCACACTTTTGGATTCTTCTTTCTTTCTGTCTCTCTGGTTGGGTGTTTTTTGTTTCCTCATATTCCAGATCTTTGGTTTGACTCCTGAGGTAGATTGATCTACAGTTGAGTTTCTGAATATTTTTTATTTCAGACCGTGTATGCTTAATTTCTGACTGTTCCTTTTCCATTTTTTTTTTTTTTTATATTCTCATTAAGGTCCTTGAAGGTCTCTTTAAGTTTCTCAGCAGTTTTTAGAAGATTCTTGAGTAAACCTTATAAATGTGTTTTTGAACTCTGTCATCCAGCAGTTTACTTTCCTCCATCTCTCCCATTCGTGACATGCTTCTGTGTCTCTGCATTTGACTGCCTCCCTATGTTGATGGAGTGGCTTTGTGTGGTAGGTGACCTGTAGGGGCCAGTAGCTCAGCTTCCCCAATCACCTGAGGTGGTCACTCTTGGCACACCCCTTTGTGGGCTGAGTGCAAAGTCTTGGTGTAGTTAAGCCTTGATTGTTGTGGGTACACTGGGAGGAATTGACCTCTAGGCCAATTGGCTGTGAGGATCCGCTGTGTCTATAATGGATTAACTGCTGTGCTAGAGACATGCTTATGGTGCAGGCCTTATTTCAGTGGGGCTTTGGTGCTCACCGAGTCCGCCTCTTGAATGTGTCACTTATGGATGTGAGAAGTTGAAATCTGGTGTCTCACACTGACCACTAGGTACACTGGCTTCTGGATCTCCAATGGGGTGCAGTTCAGCTACTGTCTGAGGCCACCCTGCAGGAGCTACAGCGAGAACCACAGTCCTCTCCTCCCTGCTTAGAGCTTGGAGGCTTTCGAGCTGTCTGCACCAGGTTGCAAGTTTGCTAGGACCATTGAGTCATACCAGGTTCGATTTTGGTCAAAGGCACATACCTTGGTTGCAGGCTCTTCATTGGCCTCGGCCCTGATCAGGGCTTGTGAAGGAGGCAACCAATCGATACGTTTCTCTCACATCAATGTGTTTCTCTGCCTTTCCCTTTCTTCTACTCTCCCTAAAAATCAATGGAAAAATATCCTCAGGTGAGGATTAATAAAACAATTCAATGAAAAATATTTAGAAAACAAACAAACCCATGTACACTAGTTAGGATAGACTAGGCTGTGGTGTATTAATTTACAATCCCCTAATTGCTGTAACTTAGAACTATAAAGGTTTATTTATTGTTCATATAACATTTGCTGCAGGTTAGATGACTGACTGTCTTTGCAATTCTCCTTCAAGTATTGTCCCCTTTCATTATTTCAAGCCCATGTCTTCATACGTAGCCTGCAGAGTTGTAGCACAAAGGAAGTTATATTGTAAATGATTTGCACAGATTTAATACCATACTTGGAAGTGTCACTCACATTCTCATGGTCAAAATCCAGTCCTATGGTCCCTCACCAAATGGAAGGCTGGTCTTTCTCTGTTTCGAGAAAAAATACAATGAAATATGATCACACATCATTGTCTCTGCTACACCAAAGTCTTAGAAAAATAAAATGTGCCACTAACCATATTCTATAGATGGACTTTTCTAATTTTTTCTTTACATCTTTTTCTTATCTATAGTTTTTTTTGCTCTCTTCTTTTGTATCATGTTACGCTGCGCAAGCATATAGTATAATTAGTGGTAGTGAATGAAAAGGTATCTCTTTCCCTGTTGCCTTCATTTCATAAGGGAGAATAAAGTCCCTACTATAAGTATGTACATCTTTGTTGGTAAGCCCTTGGTACAACTTAAAATTTTCCCCTTCAAAAAATAATTCTCAACTTGTTATATTATTAATATTTAGTTTTTATTTAAATATGAGCAACTTGAAATAACATTTTTATTGCTTCGCCTAATCTATAAATGTCAAGCTTTATTAATGCTACTATATATAAAGGTATCACTATATCTGAAGAGATTTTTTTACTTACTCATTCATCAGCTCTAATTGAACTCCTCTTATATGCCAGGCACTATTCTAAATGTTGGGAATATGGTGGAGAATAAGATAGAGTTCCTATTGTCTTTTATTCTGGTCAGATTTATTGATCACCAAAATTTGTGATGGGTGGTACAATGTATGAATTAGTAGCCACAAATTAATTATACGCCAACTATAAGAATTACAAAATTAGGATAAGCATCATGTGATTAGTGCAATATAAATTTATGGTGGTTGGTTTTTAGAAATCATAAAGTCAATGGGAATAATATGGATCTATTTTTTCTTTTAGTTTTAAAGAAACCCCCAATTTCTATTTCTCAATATGGTAGTCATCAAGCAATCTCCCATCGTCCAACTGGACAACCTCTCTCCCCTAATATTGTTCCAGGTATGAAGTCGTATTCTTAAAATTTTACTTGAAAATTAATTTACTTGAAAACTCATTTCATGTATTGTTACCTAGTGAATAAAACATGTCACTTAACAGCATAGTGAAGTAATTTTTTTCTAGCTAATGTTTTATATTTTCAAATGACTGATAGAAGCTTAGGGAAGTGATCATTTAAAAATGCACGTTATCTAATAGATTCCTAGAAGCAGAAGAATTATTTGTTTTGCCACTCTGGACTATATATTCCCTTTGATCTCTGTTGTTCTGTGTGTACGTATTTACCTTCTTCAAAATGTGTTCAAAATTATTTCACAGAATCCTATAAATTTATAAATTACTAGATTTACCTATTTTAAAATTTCTACTCTGTACTTATGAATGTTTTTGTTTTCTGAATACCTATTTGATTTTACAGAAATGTTCTCCTAAAATGAGAATTGATATGATTAAAGTTAATTATAAGGATCTAAATCAAGGCTTTGGTGAGGGGGAAAAAGGAGTGGGGGAGAGAAAGGTTATATCCAGGACAATACTAATAAGGAATAAATCAACAATTAATAGTCAAGAATAACTACTATAGCCTAAACTGGTTTGGCTCAGTGGATAGAGTGTCAGCCTGCGGACTGAAGGGTCCCAGGTTCGATTCCGGTCAAGGGCATGTACCTTGGTTGCGGGCACATCCCCAGTGGGGGGCATGCAAGAGGCAGCTGATTGATGACTCTCTCATTGATGTTTCTAACTCTCTACCTCTCTCCCTTTTTCTCTGTAAAAAACCAATGAAAAAAAAATATATATATATATATATATATTTTAAGAATAACTACTATAAATGAAAATGACTTAGAGTTTGAAACTTTTAAAAGCCTTACTGGATTTTGGAGATTTCTGACAATATATAGTTTGGAGGGGGAAAAGAGTCATCCACCCTTTATCATTGTCATTTTAATTTTTCAGTTTTTATTACATATTTCTTTGGTGAATAGGTTTTATAATCAGTATTGGAGGTTCACATGCAGACTGATTAGCAAAGTTCACATAGCTAGAATTACATTGGTTGTAAGATTTGGTTGAAGGAATTATAATCAATCTTAAGGAAAAAAAAAAAAAAGGCTACCTAACTATCCAATGTCAGACTACAATGTGCCTTAGCTTTTCTAAAGTAAATCTTGTGAAATTCTCCTATAAAATAATGACTTTAACTTGATGTTTTTCTATCGTAGATTCTCATGTAAATCATAATGGAAACCCTGGAACTTCAAAACAGAATCCTCCCAATCTTCTTCAGCGTTTAATTCCAGGCCCAAACTTGGAGAGTGAATCCAGAATTCAAGGTGATATACTAAAGCAGGATACCAAGGATAGAGCCGGTGATTTCCATAAGTTAAAGCAAAGTAAGAATTGAGTTAATAAATATAATGCTTAAAGATTTCTTTAAATACAATTTTTACTTACAAGGCTCAATTAAGGTCTTTATTACTATAATCTCTAACTAATGACTATATAGTAAAGCAATATACATATAAACAGAAAGTATAATGATGGTAAAATTTAAAAGTAAAGCAGGTTTTAAATGGATAGAGATCTTAAGAGTTTTAAAAGCTTCTCATTCACCAGTGTTCAATAATAAATTTCAGGTGAGTTCATTTTTCTTAAATGCTATTAGTTCTTATGAGTAAAATTTTTTTTGGAGAAGTGAGAAAAGATATATTTTACTAGGCTAGTGAATCAAAACTTTGATTATAAGGAACAGAATATAAATAATTTTGAAAAATAAATTCTGGGGGAGACTGCCTGGGAGACTGTCATAGTGAATGTTTCAGTACTGCTTTCTATTTCATTCCCTCCATTTGCAATTTACTTCATTTAGGTCTTAGGAGAGAAGTAAAAGAAAATGAATAAATTCATAGTACTAAATAAAGTAATAAAGTATCACTGCTTAATTGTTTCAGAGTTATTGATTTTGATAAAAGGACAATACCACAAAAAATTCTCGTAGTAAAGAGAATTTAAGAGAGGTCAATGAGAGGAAAAGGAGACTTATGTAATACTTTAAACCATATGAGACAGTTCCTTAAACTATACTTTTTTTTATTTCCTCTGCTGATTTCAAGGCTTTTTCCCTTCAACTTCTGAAACAGATAGAATGTCTAAAAGCTCCAATTTGCCTTTATTAGCTTTTTATGATGACTTCTATGTTCAGAACAGTGTTTAGGCAGCGATTTGTACACGATTGCTTGTAAAATGAGAACTGCTAGGTATTACATTTTTAAAATCTACTCAAGATATTTTTATTGGTCTATGACAGTTATTCATATTTCAGCATCTATATCAACATATAGTTTTCATGCATTCAAGTTGACTTTTCTTCCTTGTTACTTAAAAGCATATTTGGCTATCTTGACTAAAGTAATATATGAAAAACATTTTTATTTATAAGAATGTGGCTAATATTTTAAATACAGTGAAAAAATATTTCCTCAAAATTTTGTTGGAATATTGCCTCAAAGCTTTTATCTCAACAAAAAGAGGTTTAGAATAAGGGTATAACTAAATGAAATATCTGATTTGATTACTTAAGATTTTTTTTTAAACTTATACTTTATTCCATACATTTTTTTATTTGCCTTTGTTTGTTTTTACCAATCTTTGGTAAAAATGATCACTCTGTACAACTCATTTTTAAAGGAGTCTAAACTTTTGCTCAGCTGTTGTGGCTCAGTGGTTGAACATCAAACTATGAACCAACGGGTCACGGTTCATATTCCTGACAGGGCACATGCCCAGGTTGTGGGCTCAGTCTCCAGTAGGGGCGTGCAGGAGGGAGCTGATCAATGATTCTCTCTCATCATTGATGTTTTTCTCTCTCTCTTTCCCCCCTTCCTCTCTGAAATCAAGAAAAATATATTTAAACTCTGGGGAGGGAGGGCATGTATGGGAGGGTGGAGGGCAATGGTAAGATATGTACACAGATAATAATTTAATAAATAAATTAAAAAATATATATATTTTTTTAAAAAACACTCCAAATTCTTTTCATTGTATATATTTCAGTACAAATATTATTGTGAGAGTTAAAATCAAGGTGAGCACTATTTTGTGATTTACTTTGACATTATTTCATACATAATTTTAACCTATTAAATAGTTACATAGTTGTCATTTTAAATGTATTTGTATACTCACACACATATACATATATCCTGTTGTGCTTAGGCAATAATAGTAGTTTTCATTTAGCTCTATTCTTTTATTGCTTATTTATATTTTTTGTATTCTCTCAGGTTGTAATAACTATGAATATATTTTTTCAATGTACTTAATGCTTCTTCTACTTTGGGTGTTCCTTTAAAAGTATAGTCCCAATACTGAAATTACTAGTTCAAAGTACTTGACCAGCTTTCTAGCTCTTGTTACATATTGTCAGATTGTTTTCTAGAACAGTTTCACAATGTCAGTGGAGATATTTAAATTTATTTCAGTATGGCTTGACCACATTTGCTTTTTAACGCTTTTATAAAATATTTAGAATATATTCCTTAAAGATGTTTTAGTAAGCATTTACTTTCTAGCAACCTATTCATTTTTGTGAGGAATTTTATTGTAATTATTTCTGGGTATGTAACTGTGCCTCACTTTTGACCACTTAGCATGGTATCTTTGGAAATTGATCCTATATCTTTGTATCGAATCTTTATAAATAATTCAGATATTCAGATTCTGACTTTTAATAATTTGCCTTTACTATTGTTTTCCACTTCAATTGCCTTTCTTGATATGAGACTATTCTCTTTTGTCATGCAAAAGTTTTTTTAATTAAAAATAATTTTTAAATTGTTATAAAATCCACCAAAGTGTTTGATTCAGTGACAGTCAGTACATTCTCCATGTTGTACAGTCATCACAGCTGTCTAGTTCCAGAACATTTTCATCACCCTGAAAGAAACCTCTACCCAATAAACACTTCCCATGCTCTCTTTACCAGTAGTTCGTGGCAACTTTCTAATCTGCTTCCTGACTCTGTTAATTCACCTGTTCTGGATATTTCATATATAGGGAATCATATAGTAGGTAGATTTTGTGTATAGCTTTTTTCACTTAGCATACTGTTTTCAAGTTTCAGCCATGTTTTTTTGTTTGTTTTTTTTATGGCTGAATAGTAGTCAGTGCGAATATTACTATATGAATACATTTTATTTATTGTTCATCCTTTGATAGACATTTGAATTCTTTCTACTTTTTGGCTATTGTAAGTAGTGCTACTGCTGCTATGAACATTCCTTTATAAGTTTTTGTTGCACACCTGTTTTCAGTTTTTTTAAGTATATACCTGACCTAAATGTGAAATTGCTAGGTCATATGCTAATTCTATGTTTACTATATAAAACCTGCCAAACTATTTTCCACAGCAGCTGCACCATTTTAGAATCCCATCAGCAATGCATGAACATTTTCATTTCTCCACATCTCGTCAACACTCAATGTTTTCCTTTTTTTCTTTTTTAATTTATTGCCAGCCTAGTGGGTGTGAACTGGTATTGCACTATAATTTTCATTTTCCCAATGACTAATGACATTGAGAATCTTTTTCATATACTTGTTTGCCATTTGTATATCCTCCTTGGAGAAATGTCTCTTCAAGTCTTAAATTGGGTTGTTTGTCTTTGTTCAATTTTAAGTGTTCTTTACACATTCTGGATAAAAGGCCCTCATTAGATATATGATTTGGAAATATTTTTGCCCATTCTGTGGGTTGTCTTTTCACTTTGATAATGTCCTTTGATACAGAAAGCATTTTAATTTTGAAGTCCATTTTATCTATTTTTTCTTTTGTTGTTCATGCTTTTGGTGTCATATCTAAGAAACCTTTGCCAAATCAAAGGTCTTGAAGATTTCCTGCTGTTTTCTTCTAAGAGTTTTATAGTTTTAGCTTTCATGTGTAGATTTTTAACCTACTTTAAATTAATTTTTTTATATGGTATGAGTTAAGGGTGTAATTTTCTTCTTCTATATGTGGGTATTTTCCCAGCACTATTTGTTAAAGAATGTCTTTCTCCCCCTATTAAAGTCTTTACGTTCTTGTCAAAAATCATTTGACCCCAGATGTTTGGGTTAATTCTGTACTCTTTTTTTTTTAATAAGTTTTTATTGTTCATATTATTACAAATGTTCCTCCCCCCCCCCAACCATTGCTCTCCTCCACCAGGTTCCCACCCCTCTCTCCGCTCCCTCCCCACTCCCCATTGTCCCCATCCATAGGTGCACAGTCTATGTTCAGTCTCTTGCCACATCCCCCTCTCCTAGATATAGATATATATATATAGATATAGATATATCACAGTTTATTTCTTTTTTCTCTCTTATTTAAAAAAATATATTTTTATATCAGGGAGAGGAAAGAAGAGAGAAACATCAATGATTAGAGAGAATGCCTCCTGCACACCCCCTACAAGGGATTGAGCCTGCAACTGGGGCATGTGCCCTGACTGGGAATTGAACCCCAACCTCCTGGTTCATGGGTTGACACTAAACCACTTAGCCACACCAGCCAGGCCACATTTATTTCTTTACTCATTCATTCATCAATAGATACTTGGTTATTGTAAATAATGCTACAATGAACATAGGGGTGCAAAAAAAAATTTTTTTTTAATTCTTCTTGGTGTTTTTCTGTCTTGGATATAAGGATGTTCCTTTCTGACAGAATGGGAAAGGCACCTTTCACATGTGGATTTTATTACCTTCTTCAGGAGAAGGTCAGAATCTTCTTTTTGGACATGCCCTTGATCGGAATCGAACCTGGGACCTTTTAGTCCACAGGCCGATGCTCTATCCACTGAGCCAAACCGGTTTCTGCTCAATTTGTCATTTTTAAATGTATTTGATTCACCTGTTCTTAACATTTCCTCTGATATCTTCCTAGTTTAACTACTACAGCTTCTTACCTGACTAGACCCTGGAGATGCTGTGGTGCATAAGATAAGATTCCTTATGTCAGTTTCAAAGAAATCATAACAATTGCCTGTTGCTTACATCAAGTTCAGACTTCCTTTATTAAATAGAAACCAATGGTAACAAGTCTCCACATTGATATATCCTTTCTATTATAGATCATTGTTGTTACAGCACAATAGCATCACTTTCTAATTATATGTTTTCATATCTGTCTCCCTTAACTCTGAGTTACTGGAGATGGAGATTGTAAGTACATTTTTGTATAGTGGTGCCTAGCATGATATCTGTCACATATATCAGTCAATCTTTGTTGAGTGAATGGGTAAAAAGCATAATAGATACTTTTATATACTTTGTCATTCATTTAGCAGTCACTATGTTTAGTGGATATAGGAAATCTTTTTGTTTTTACTTATTTTATCAATTTATTGATTTTAGA